CCTTGGCCTTCCCTTTTCCCTTGCCGCGTGACCCCCCCCCCGGCTGCTTACCGTTTTCTTCCTCCGCTGCTGCCGCCGCCGCCGCCGCCGCCGCCCCCGATGCGGGGGGCTTCTTGGGTTTCGATGACGTCGACGGCGTTGATGCTGCTGCTGTTTCGGAGTCGTCGTCACCGCCCAAGTCCTCGTCGTCGCTACCGCTGCTACTGTCCCCTCCGTACGAAGGCGCGGGGCGTGAGCTAGCGCGCTGTTTGCGGCCCGAAGCCGGTGCAGCGGCAGCGGCAGCGGTAGCGGTGGGTTTCTTCGGCCCTTTCTCCTTGGTGCCGCCGCCGCCGCCGCCGCTGCCGCCACCTTTCGCGCGGCCGCCGCCTTTCGCGCTGTCGCCGTGGCTCTTGCCCTTTCCGCCCCCGCTCTTTTTCTTGGCGACGCTTCCCAGGCTCTCCTCGTAGTCAGACCCATCACCGTCGTCTTCAACACCATCCCCGCTGCCACCGTTGTCCTCGCTATCGATGTTGACCACCTCTTGCGGCCTAGCCTTCGCAGCAGCGGCGCCCTTCCGCTGCTTGTCAGTCGCAGGCGGCGAGGGAACAGTGGACGTGCGAGCAGCGGCAGCACCAGCAGCCGCCCTCTTTTTGACCGGCGCCTTGCCCGCGTTCTTGGGACCGACGCCGGCGGCGGAAGCTTTACCCTTGCGGCTGGACGGGGCCGCCGCTGCTGCCGCCTTTTGTTTCTGCTGGGCGGAGGGCGTGCCGTCAGTGTCTTTACCAGTAACAGCAGCAACAACAGCAACAACAACAACAACAACAACAACAACAGCAGCAGCAGCAAACACACCTGAGTGCCGCCGCCGCCTGCCGCGCCCGAGGGCTTCTTCCCTCTCGGAGACGACTTCCCCTTCGACTCTGGGCCACCGGCGTCGTCCGAGTCGCTGCTCATCACGTCGAAAGCGAAGTCGTCCAGACCGTCGCCCTTGGCGCTCCACGCCCCGGCGGACAGGGCGGGGGAACCCCCCGCCTTGGCCGAAGCAGCTCCCTTATTCGCGGCCGGAGACGAGTAGGAACGGACGTGTCCGCTGCGTGCGGATGATGATACATTGGACGGTGACGCCGGCGCTGCTGCTGCTGCCGGAGTGCTGCCGCGCTTCCTGCCTCCCTGCGAACGCTTCGGCGCCTGCGAAAGAAGGAGGTTCGTGCAGGCACAGCAGTGGCACGCGTGAGGCAGGCGCGGACAGCTACATACAGCGAAGCAGCGACAGTGCTTCGTTAAACAGCTGGAAATGGGCCCCACTTCAATGCGGACAGCTACATACCGCACATGTCCGTGTTCAAGGCCGCTATGGTCCAAGGGAAAACACTGGCCCTGTGTCGGGCACCCGGCACTCTCTATTGAGAGTGTGTGAGACAACTGGAGAATTCCATGTGTGCCAAGCGAATTCACCCGCCTTAAACAGGCCAATCGGCCTAAAACAAACAGACTCTGCTGCAATGAAAACGAAAATGTAGCGTCTGTCATCTGGAAATGCCCCCCCCTGAAGTGTGGACAGCTACAGCAGAGGATCCCCGGCCTTTTACATCGGGCACCCGGCACTATTCAGATTGTAAGATGACTTGAAAATATTCCATCCGTGCCAAGCGATTTCACTTGCCTTAAACAGGGCATTCGGCCAAAATAGGCGGCCTCAAACAGGGACCTGAACGAAAACGTGTGTTTCTCATCTGAAAAATGGGCGTCACATAAGCGTAGCCCGCACACCAGGGCCGCGCAAACCCGTTTCGCACTTGGCACGATGCCCACATGAGATACGTGTGACATGCCGAGGGAGCCTGCCATACTGGGTCCTTCCGGTGGTATTTCGGGCAACTGTTGCCTCTGGTCGGACCAGCACCGTGGCAGTACAACTACTCCTACTGCTCCCACGCTTCCTGGACCTGGGGGACGGTGATTTATCGTTCCCAAACTAAACTTGTATCGAGATTGCTGTGCAAAAGGCAGAAAGCCCTTCGTGCATTTGAAGCGGATGGCTACTGCTGTATGTAGTCCTTGGTAGTGATACAGAATACCGGTATGTGCATTATCCGAAGTAGACCGAGGGGAAACATAAGCAAGCACGCCTCCGGTACTCCAGCTTGCCTGTGCCCGGTCGCCGAAACCAAATTCAAATCATCCGACATTAGGGTTATTGCTGACCTTTCACGGCGGTCCCCAACTGCACAGCAACATATCGCGAAAGCGAGAATATGAATCACCTCTTCGCGACCTTATACCCTCGTGTTTGATGGGGCTACCTGCCCCCTGTCCTGTCATCTACGTTGCCTATAATAAGATGCGGTCATGTTTGAACCAGCCACCGCAGGCACGGTCTGCCGCGGGTTGGCTACTATCAATAATGTACAAATACATACAAGTGGGAGGGGGGGGGGTATTGGACGAAACAAGTCACCATGCCATTGAGTTGACTTGGATGGAGTGGACGCACGGTAACATCATTTGTCTCACGCGCAAAGTATCAAGGCCGAATCCTGATCGGCCCTTCCCATAGTCGCAGAGCAGGACCGCTGTGCAACTACATGGCTCTGTTTTCTTTCCCTCGCCATCAAGCGTTTGAAAATTTGATTTTTGACCTGGATATGTCCGACTCGCAGCCAGGCAACACCGCTGACACCTACCGGTGAATCCGTCACATCCAAAACCTCTGCTTCGGCCGCTTGCTTCCTTTTGGAACCACGGGGTGGTGCCATCCTCGTTTCCGCGTCTCTAGTCCCTCTCGCTTGCTGCGTGTGAGGCGGGACAGAGGAGCGGACAGCGGAGAGCTTGAGCAAGTACGGAGCAAGCAGCCAGGGGCGTTCGCAGATGGCAAAGGCTACTGCAGGTGCAGGTACCCACCTAATGTATCATGCACTGTACCTCTGCTAATCACGCCGCTGCATTACAGTGGGCCTGGCAGCCGCCGGCAACTGATGACCTTGCAAGCTCGGTGGCGGTGTACCTTGCGTGGCTTTGAGGGTTTGTGATACCAACTTCTTGCCTCGAGAGAGAAAACAGAAAGCGTGGCATCAGACTCATCGTGCGTAGCGCAGCTATCAGGGCGATAGGCTGGATATTGTTCGGACAGCAAAGTGAGTGAGCTGCGGTCGAGCGGAGCGCGGCGCTGCTTCATCCACCCAGCTCACGGGAACCATGGCGGCAAGCGTCAAAATCGAGTTCGACGACGGCAGCAGGGTCATTTCGCAGACTCTCGAGGATGTCGCTGAAGTGGTGGACCCGAGGATCGCCGCAGGTCGGGTGCTTTCTGTGGGCAACCGACCGGCCTCCTGCTCCATTGATGACTTCTATGAGGTACGGCCGGTAGATCAGAGCGATTCAAAAGATTGACTCCCTTCGAGTTACTGCGATTCAAATACAAGACACCTTCTTCCTTTTCACATGATTGCAAATTGTGAACACGCGTTTTTGGATGTGTGCATCCATAAGTCAGTCAGAGGCTTAGGGTCCAATCATGATGCGGCACAATTGGACGGCTTTCCACCGCACTGCTACATGTTGGCAAGGGAAGACCGGTGAAACCCATTCCTCTCTTATAGGAGGCTGGACGACGACCACTACTGTACGTCCGGAATACTCTAAATATTTCAACCCGTCATGGCTGACCTCTGTGCTCGGAAACAACTTGATTTTGGTACGCACGAGAATTGTCAGCCGGCCTCAAACGTATTCGAACCCAGTACTTCTGGACGTGCTCCCTAGTACGTGAAAAATTAGCCTTGTCGCACTTGTGGACACAGCACCCACACTTTATCCATGATAAATAGGACAAAACGCACACACACAACACTGGCCAGGTATGCAAACACAGTGAACGAAAAGGTCACGACCGAAACCTCACTCATTCCTCCCACCTCAACGGCACGATCCCCACCGTTTTCTTTCAGATCCCGAGAACCACGGCGTTCATCGCGGACGGCAACTTCCGTAGGGTAGCGTTGCAGTTCCCCGACGCGCTGCTACGAGAAGCACCGGAGGTGCTGTGGACGCTCCAGGCGCGGCTGCGTAAGCTGGCGGCGGGAGGGGTGCGGTCTGTGTCGCAGGAGGGCCGCGAAGAGGAGGGAGAAGGGAAGGGCTCATCGAAGGTAGCTACGACAGCACCACCTCTGATTTTCGTGACAGGGGACACCTCGTACGGCAGCTGCTGCGTGGACGAGGTGTCTGCGCAGCACCTAAAGGCGGACGCCATCATTCACTACGGTGAGAATTGATGAACGATGGCGTCCGAAGTTGGTGAACACGCGGGCACCTGCATACATGCGCTCCTAGGCATTTAGTGAGCAAGGAAGAGGGGTGACTCGCATGGAATTGCCGTCGGTTGGTGGGTGCAAGCACACATTTACCTTGGCCCATATGCCCCTCGGTGTTGATGAGCAAGGAAGAGGGGTGACTGGCGTGGATGTGTCGTCGGTTGGTGGAAGCACGCAAGCACACCTTTACCTTGGCCCATGCGCCCTTAGGTGTTGATGAGCGAGGGTTGGCTGGTATGGAACTGCCGTCGTTGCGGCGGGCATACTTCTGTGACGCCCGTTCTTCGACTGCATCCCGTAACCCCTCCTGGACTGCCCTCGATTATCGAGCCGTTCGTGATGACAGTGCGGCAATAACTTCTCGAGTCGAACATGGCGGAAACGCGCAGGAGCGCCACATTGGTGGTAATGTCTTTCATCACACGATGCGTGCGTGGAACAACGGCCAGGGTGATGGGTGATTGGTCACATGTTTCAGTATATAGGCCACCGCAACCGCCACCGTCGTCACCATCTTGCCTCCACCACTGCTTTGCCGTTTCTGAAAACTACAAGAGTGGCCTAGGCCACGCGCTTGTCTCAGTCCAACATCCTGATTTAAGACCCCCTCCTTCCCTCCGGCGCTTCCGCCTCCCCACTTCGCTTCTTGGCACCTTTCTGGGAACCCTGACCTCGACCGCCAACCACCTTAGGCCGGGCGTGCCTCAGCCCGACGAACTCTTCGGTGCCCGTCCTCTACGTCTTCGGCCGCGGGGACCTCGACGTGCAGCACCTGGCGTCCACGCTGCTCTCGGGCCCGCTGTCCGCCACCGCCGCCGCCACCCCCGTCTCGAGCGGCACCAGTTCCGGGCTGCAGGGCGGCGGCGACGACTTGCCGTCACCGCCAACCGCAGCAGGAGCAGAAGGCGGCGGCAGCGGTACCGGTGGCATGCCGCCTCCCGTCCTCCTGCTGTACGACGTGAGCTACGCCTACGCAATCCCCGCGCTCCTTGAGATATTGGCTGCCGTCGGCGGCGGCGGCCGCAAGCGGGCGGGGCTCGTGGTTGGGTTTCCTACAACAGAGGCGTACTCGCCGATGACGGGGGGTTGTGCAAAGCCGGCCGCCGCCGGCTACGGGTGCGGCGCAACATCAACGATAGGGCAGGGAGGGGGCTCCGACCGGTGTGGACAGAGCGACAGGGGTCCCCCTTGCACCGGCGACAGCCGTAGCTCAGAGAAGGAGACAACCGGGGAGTGTTGCGGTCGTTCGGGCGGCAACAATGCCGGATGCGGTACCGGTGGTCGGGGGACGGGACACCCCTCGCGAGAAGGAGCCTTGGGTGGGCAGGGTGGTGCTGGCCCAAGAGAACCGAGCGAACCTTCTGCCGTAGAATCGGGAGCTAGCTCCGCACCCCGCCATGCGGGTGGCGCTGTCTCGTCCCTGCCGAGCGCAAGGAGCAGCACCGCCTCCGGAGGACTTGGAAACCCGGGACTAGGGACACCTTCTACTCCTGAAACAGATACGTGCACGTCAGGTCAGTCCGTGGGTGCAGCACCAGGTGGGGAGGTGGCGGCGTTGCCGACAGCGGGACCGCCGGCACCGTTGTCGTGTCAGCAGAAGAGGCGTGTGCGTATCGGGGGGTTGGGGGTCAACCTGGAGTCCGAGGAAGAGCTCAGGCGGCACACGCTCGTGTTTGTCGGAGGGGAGGGTAGGCAGCTCAGCAACGTTCTCATGCGGTGCGCCGGCTGCGTTGATCGGATGCGGTACGACCCCTGCCTTCCGCCCGGGGACAGGGTGATCGGGGACACCCGTAAGGGCAACAAGGATCTCATGCGAAGGTGAGGACTGGGGAAGGGTTGGAAAGCTTGAAGAATTGTGAGGTAGGTAGGCGGCGGTTCACCAGTCTCATTCGAAGGTGAGAGTTGGGTGGAGTTAGATTGACAATAACTGGAACATTTGTGGAGTACGCGGAGGTCCGAAAGGAGGCTCTGATGTGTGTCCAAGAGAACCTCATGACGTGGAGGCAGAGCTACCGCAACAGCTGCCACAATGCCGGCGCTGCGCGCAGTGCAGCATGGGAATCCCGTGTGTTAAGTTGCACCCGCCGGCACTAACAGACGTCGGGCCTGGACTACGAAAAATAATCCTTGGCGTTCCATGCACGGACCCGTGTCGTAGTCGCCGGTGTAGACCGAATCGGGTGTCGGGCTTCGCAGTACAACTGGCAGGTCCAATGACGGACGGTTGACGTGCGGTGTAGGTCTGCGGATGGTTGCGATGATTGCCTGTTTGCCGTGTGGTTCGATTTGCCGACTTGCAACATGCCCGTACCGCTGTGTTCGATCGTTTATGTTGCTTGTTTTAGTGCAAACATTTTTTTCACACGCGTCGTACCTCACGAATGCAGTGCGCACGTGGCAACATGCGCCATTCAGAGTTTTCTTGACATGTTTGTTGTGTCCGGCTTGAGAGTCTACATGCTTTCACGCGGACCACATCCCTCACAGAACACAATCCTCCAGGCTGCTACTGCAGAGCAAATACCAAGACATTGCAGTGGAAGTGCAGTCATCTGCATTCATGTGTATTGGCGACAAGATACAATGCATGATTACTGTGTCCTCATTGTCGCTGTTTCTTTGTTGTCGTTTTTCGAGAGATAAACGCACTCGTCTAGTTCAAGGACCTCACCTTGTCTCTCTCTCTCTTTTTTTTTGTGTTTCGTTTGGTGTTTCGGCAGATACTACCTCGTTCAACGCGCGCGAGAGGCTGGTGTCATTGGAATCGTCGTGGGGACCCTCGGTGTCCAGCGGTACGGCAGCGTGGTACGCTCGGTACGAAAGATGATCGAGGACGCCGGCCGCAAGGCGTACACCCTTGCCGTGGGGAAGGTCAACGTTGCGAAACTCGCCAATTTCGCCGAGGTCCGCCTGCTTTTGCTCTTGTCTTTTTCGATGTTGTTGTCATTGTTTTCGTTGCCACCGTCATAATCCCAGCCGTTGTTGTTGTTGTTGTTGTTGTTGTTGTTGTTGGTATTGTTGTTGTTGTTGTAGGTGTAGGTGTACTTGTAGTTGTAGTTGTAGTTGTAGTAGTTGTTGTTGTAGTTGTCATTGTCCTTATCGTTGCCACCGTCATCGCGGTGTCATTGTCGTTGCACTGCGGTTTGCTTGCTCACGTTCTGCGTTTCATCATACTTGCAGTCGAGTCCTTGCATACATTGTGAATATATGCGCACCGTCACGGGTGGAGTTCTATCCCTCGTCACCCCAGTTTACGCGACACTCGCCCTACTTCTCCGTTTCTCGCACAATCATCACAAACGTACCTCCCGCCCCGCTCGGCCTTGCTCGTGCCTTCCTCGCACATCACTTCGTGAAGGTGGATGTGTTTTGCCTCGTGGCCTGCGCGGAAAACTCGTTGCTAGACTCGAGGGAGTTCCATGCCCCCGTGGTGAGTGGGCGTTTCGGGCTTGTCGCTTTTTATGTTGGGTGTCCGGGAAAGCCCCCTATTATTTGAAGATGTAGTGCCTGTTCTTACGAAACATGGTACGGATAGGTGCTCGAAAACGCCATCGAATTGGAAAGTTGATATCTATTGTCATGGTTGTTGGATCGAAGCGTGCGTTGTCCACGGTTTCTGCTTGTCATTGGCGTTGGTTTTGGCTCCATGACCTACAAGCCTCCATTGCAACCTCATGTGCTTCGGCTAGGCGTTGCCGAAGGTGCTGGTGTTGCCACGTGCAAGGAAAATACGAAAGCTGTCATGTAGGAGTTTCGCGCCGGGTGCGCTTGGGGGGCACGCGACTAAATATAGTCCGCGCATGTTCCGCGGGTATGCTCCTCCGGCATTGTTTTCTTTCAATTAAGTTGGCTTGCGGAATGTTGGCGGTTTGCCTCATGTTCTCCGATGAACGTGACCCCTTTTATGTCATACATAGGTGACCCCTCTGGAGCTGGAAGTGGCCCTAAGGAAGCGCGAGTGGGACGGCTTCTACAGTACGGACTTCGACGACCTCCTGGAACTGGACCCGCCTGCCTCCGAACGCAGCGGAGCCGCGAGTCTCAACCCCACCGTCGCAAGCGACGGGATCGAGTCCCTCGCCATCGGGGACTCCTCCCCCACGCGCGCGGCGCAAAGGGCGGACGACGACGAAGGAGATGAACCCTTCTTTTCCCTCGTGACGGGCACGTACCAGAACAAGCCCGGGGTTTCCAGGAAGAAGGCGGAGGGGCACCACACCGGTGCAGGGGGCTCCGCAGGAGCGCTCGTCGGGGTGGGAGACCGTTCCCTGGTGGAGTGGAGTAGCCCCGCGGCGGACTTCTTGGGGAAGAGGGAGTTTAAGGGTTTGGAGGCGCTGGTCGGGCAGACGGAAGCGAAGGCGGCCACGCCGGGACAGTCCGGCATCGCTTCAGACTACGGGGGGGTGTAGTTTTGCCGTTTTTTCGAGCACCCCTGTTTCACCATCGTTGTGAGAGTAAAAGACTGGTGGCACATGGCAAGTATGTTTTTGTGGGACCAAGTTCCCCTTTGTTGCCGTTTTAAGAGCGCTTGCCCCCCTCCCCCTGTTCACCACCGTTGTAGAAACAAAAGAATGGTAACCCATGGCAGCAGGAGTGTCATTGTAGGGCCAAGTGCCCCATGTGAAGCGTTGTCGTCGATGTCTGTTGCCCGGCGATTAGAGTATGGGTTGCCGATATGGGTCATGCTGTGAAGCACGAAAGAAGTCTCTGATTGATGTTATCATGAACTTGACGATCGGCGTTGACAGTTCGCGCATCCTCTGTTGGTCTTGACCTCGTCCTGGTTTTGGCGGTGATCCGGCCAATCGTCAATCGGGATTTCACAGAGAGTTTAAGTTCGGGGTACATACTCCGGCTTAGCCCGTCGGCCGTGCTGATCCTCTCGTGCTTTGTGTCTCCGTGTTGCTTTTTGTTGTGGCCTTCACATAAACCGTTCCGGTCTCCACTCAGTACCTTCTAGTCTGGTCTAATGAGAGGGGTAAATTTCGTGTAATTTATTTGGTGGAAATCATGGGGACAGAGTAGGATGGACCCGATTGCAATGAATGCTGGAAACGAAGGGACCTCTCTCAAGTATATTTGTAGCCGGATAAGAGGCCCTCCACTTTCAGGCCGGAACCTCAGTCAGCATCGTCGGTGCCGTCTCGGATAGGTACAGCAGTAGAGCCAACACCTACCTCAAGGTTGAGCTGTGTTTGGTGACCCCAATTCCGATTTTTTTCGGAAGTTCTGTGCAAATTGTATCTGACGTGGAAGTGTTTTGTGTGGGCCTTCCGTTGTCATCAAGTGTGTCGCGTGTGGTGCGATGTGGCTAAATAGCAGTCCATTCGTCACACAAATCATCATGTACTCCTAGAAGACCGACGAGATGGCACCTGGTTGCCGACTGGAGGATTTTGTAGAATACCTCCTGATATTTCCTTAAATGCCGACGAAATGACAACTGGAGGGCACTCACATGTCAGCAACATACGGACGCACAACATCAATCCATGGCACACTCGCTAAAGCCTGAAGTCATGGGTTGCCACACCCGCACCCAGTCGCCAAGCAAGTACCCAAGCATGTTCAGAGTTTACACCGCACGCGTCCCCGGCCCCCCCTACAATAATTTCAGGCCTCTGTGTCACAGTCAGAAAAAAAAAAGAAGACATTTCACGTGCGGGCTTTCAGCTTCCCGCCGGTCAACAAACAAGAAGCTGCTGTCGTATGCTTGCTGATATATCGCTGTTTGGGTGCAGGAGACGGTAGTGGAGGTGACTACCGTCAGAGAAGAGAGGATCCCGGGAAACTCTGAGGGACTACTTGTCGGTTTTCTCCTTCAAAGCTGCGCCTCTTCAGCGGTGCAAACGTTGGGTGGGCGGCGGAGAGGGTAAAGTTTGGAGAGAGCGAGAGTTCCTTTCTGCTACCATATACATCCCGTGCAGCTAGGCAGCAGCAGCTGTGTGTGTCGTATTTTGTCTAGTCGAGAGGTGAGCGCGTGGGTCAGCAGCAGCAGCAGCAGCAGCAGCAGCAGCAGCAGCAGCTAGGAAGCCACCTTCGCCGCGACATGGAGCCTCCAGAAGGGAATAGCGACGTTGACGTGGAGTGGCTGGACGGCCCTCTTCCAAACAAAGCGGGCGTCGCCGGGAGCGGCGCCGACAATGATGATGGTGCGAAGAAAGCCGAAACCACTGCGCCATGCCACGTTGCCAGCTACAGACGCATGACGAGCAGCAGCAGTGTGTTCAACGGCGCCTCGCGGCACGTCCACCTCGTCGAAGGCTGCGCCGGTGGTGGGATCCTGGACCACCGGTATCAAGAGGGGGTGGTGGGTAGCAGTAGTGCGGCGGCGGCGACGGGCGGGACATCTCGCCGCGTGCCCCTAGAAGATAGGGGGTTCGAGTCATCAACATCAGCGGGATCATCAACCAGCATTGACGCTATGCCAGCTGCTGCTGGTCATAGCGGGCCAAGCAAGGCAGCGGGCGGCTTCCTGTGCTACGAGTGCGGCCTGGCCTTCCACAGCGTGAAGGAGCTGCAGCTGCACATGGTCAGGAAGACGGCTTGGTCGAACCAGGGCCTGGTCGGCAGCCGGGTCAGCTGCTTGGTGGACAACCGGGAATGGCACGAAGGTCTTGTTACCCAGGTAGGTGAACAAGTCACTTGTAATTTGTTGGCGGTAACAGCGTTGCTAAGGCGGTTCCTACGACGCCCCACCCCGCGCTACTCCGGCCCAGCAGCGCCCTCGTATCTACCAAACGAGTGATGCATTTCCGAGCCCTTGACTTTTATAGCAACGCTCTGTTATTTCGACTCGGTTTTTTGGTTGCCCTGAAAACCGCGGTACCACTTTTGCGTGCACACGACGGGTAGATGTGTGGTATGTATCTCTCCCGTGATGCCGTCCACGTTTTCTCGATGACCGTCAGCACACGCTTGCCATGGCGCTCTATTCTTGGTGACGGGTGCTACCGTCATCGCAAGAAATCAACAGCTCGCAAAGCTACATCCTACAAGGGCAGCAGGCACTATGCACTCTGTGCTCCGGACATGACTGCGTAAAATTCTGCAGGGCGTTTTATTCCGACCTCCGACATAACGTCCCGCGCTATCGTAAGCGGCGAGGGATAGGTTGAGGGCTTTGGTGGCGTCGTTGCGTGCATGGCGTTCTGTGATGTAGGCGGGAGATCCACGAAACGGACGGTGGCTAGCTTCCGAGTCGGACTTGTCTTGGGACGAGGCAATGGAAGATAAACTATCCGAAGTCGAACCACCGCTCTCTCTCTGCCCTTGCGCCCCCGCAACACATGGCTTTCTTTTTGATTTTTATGTCAACGAGAACGACGGACGCACGGCGGTCCCCACCCCCGGTGTTGTTCTCTCTTGCGTTCCTGTTTTTTTGGTTGTTTGACGCACAGCTTTGTGTCCCTGCAGTGTTTTGATCACACGCGTTTCTCCTCTCACAGGTATGTATACCTGTACAACAGGCAAAACACCTGACATCCCGGAATCAAAACCACAATGCGAGGAAAGCGTTTGGGAGTTTTTCGGCGCTGTAGACGCAGCTACGGACTGTGCCGGCCCGTGAACGAAACACGTTTTTTTTTTTGGCGAGGCTCAAACCTTGTTTTTGTCCCCACCATTGAGAAAAGGCGTCTACACATGAATATATAGGGAGTTATGAAGCGCCGGCCGCTGCGCTCAATTTCTTATCGCGTTTTTCTTCAGTTTGGTCTCAAATCTGAGCCTCGGTATTTTCTCACGAGTGGGCCGGTAATCTGTACTCCTGTCGCTGCAGGCTTGACCCATCATCAGGCATGTCCTCTGATATGCGTTGCGCACACGCGCACACCCCGATGTCAACCGCACGAAGACTGACGTCTTTTCATTGGTCAGCCGGTTAGCGCGGTTGACGCTAATAATCAAAAAGACACACCCCGATTCCTGTCGAGTTTGGTTTGATCGCTGTTGGTAGTGGCGATCCAAAATCGTGCCCATCATGCAATCGTTCTGTGATGGTGTCATCTGGAGTATGAGTATTTGCTGTTGTCTCGGGGGAGCGTCGGCCGCAAGTGGGAGAAATAATGGTCGAGAAAGACCCACCCACGTGGAATTTCCTCCCAACGACAGCAATCGTCGCGTGGAGCAGCAGAAACGGCCTCGATTCAGATGCGATGGCGCAGAGTTTCCCCGTTCAAAAGCATGCTGAAAGGTTAAAAGGCAGCTCTCCGATGGAGCGCGTGACCTGCTTGGGTGCGCCCGTGTTTTCGCTGGTGCGCTCTTCTTGATTCCATCTTTATATAAGTGGTGTGGTGCTTTTGACACACAAGCTGTATCTAGTTCCAGGTGCAGACCCTTGCAGCTCGACCCATGGAAAGCGATGTGTTGCTGACCCTTTCGAAAATTCTGCAGCGTTTTGGGACGGATTTTTGCGGTTGTCCTCCTGCTGGCGTGTGGCGCAGCAGCCTTCGCCTGCTGATGTACGTGTACCGTATAAGGGGCGGAGAGATGGTACCTAGGCCGATTTTCAAGACTCGATTGCTCCACAACCATCGTAGGTGACACAAGAAACCACACACCCTTAACCGGTTTGCAAAGCTGGTTTTCTCCACAACGGAACGGGTGGCAGCGCCGAAGATATGGCGGCGTTGAAGCCGTCTGGTGGAGAGCTTTCCGGAAACGTACAGAACATCGGTTCATGTCTATATCTTCTTCGTCATGGAGTAATCGAGCCTTGAAGATCGGCGGAAGGGGTGTGGTATCTTGCGTCACCAACGGCAAGCTTGTGCCAACACCCAAGAGGGTGGTTTTGGAAGCATGTCGTCGAGGGCTTACCGCAGAATGCTCTTTCCATGCCCCCGGTGGCTGTGGAGCAACTGAGCTTTGAAAGTCGATTTACGGGGGGTGCCTCCTCTCCTCCTCGTTGTAGTGTATTTATACGGTATGCCCGTGCCGCCTGATGCGGAAGGATGTGTTGGCCGCCTCTTACGGTATTTGTACGGTATGCCCCTGCCGCCTAATGCGGAAGGACGTGTTGACCGAGTGACGTCCGGTCTGCAGGTCCCCCCCTCTCGTCATTTTTTCTGAATGCTCCATCTCTATCCGTAGGTGAGAGCCTAGGATGAATCTGGCAATGAACCCATAGCGTTGGAGGAGGATTAGTACCAGTGTTTGTGCTAGTGCTTCTACGACTCTCCGAGCAGCGCTAGAACATGCCTCCCCTACTCTCGTGTCTGCGTGCACAGAACGGTCCCTCGGTGGAGGAGTATATCGCTGGAACAGAGGCTCAAGTTTTTATCCGAATTAATGAAATAGGGCAAGGAATGCGGCTCAGCCGTGGATCGTCGACAAAACAACACTTCACAAAACAACCCGTGCTCGACAGCAGACAGTGGCGATGATAAACGCGGGACTGAGCGTTGACCCGACTTCGACGCTTCTTGTCTCCGCGCCCGTTCTGTACCCGGCAGTACCACAAGTCGGGCAAGCACTGCGTGGAGTACCGGAGATCGGGGGAGAAGCGCTGGGTGAACATGCTCAAGTCGGCGTTCTACATCGTCGAGCGCGCTCAGCCCACGGGCGGCGAGGTCAAGGAGATGGAGTCAGACCCTACCGAGGGACTAGCACCGATAGAGGTGAGCAGTGGAGTGCCTACGCAAAGAAATTGTGTTACTTTGGTTTTGTACTCAATTGTACCGGGCAAAAAGCATGCAGAGCCCTTCCCTCACCCTAACCCCGACCCCAACCCCGACCCCAACCCCGACCCCAACCCCAACTCGGCCGATTCTATACGTTATCTAGTATGTTTTCTTGGAATGATTTGCTGAAGACTACCAGTTTACTACTGGGAGCCTTGTCGAGGAAGCTGAGTGGTTTCAGTAGGGGATACAGGGTGGGTTTAGGGTAAGGGTTTGAGATCCGAACCCCTCTCCTCCCTCTCCTCTTTTCCATGTTTCCTCTATTTCATCCTTGGGAGTAGATTAATACTAACACCCTCTCGAACGCGGTCTCCGAGGTCAGTTAGTAGATGCGGTGCTCGAGGTGAAAGGTTGACTGACTCCCTTACGGATCCCTGACGGGACTGTTGTGGCTGGGCTCCAAGTTTCCGGGCTTAAATTAGGGTGTGCTGAATGTCCTTCCGCTGAAGGCGTAGCGAGTGACGCTTGCGGGAGCATGTCTAGCGGCATCTGCTCATGCGTAGCGTTGAATTGTCGCTTGACTCGTCTGCGAAGATTTGTATTTGATTTTTTTTTTCGGTCAGCAGGAGTTATTCTCGCAAAGTTCACCCCGGTGGCCGGTGGCCCACTGACCGTCGTTTTCCGCGAAATCTGACCATGGTGATGATCGTCGCATCACCATCGTTACTGCTTTCGTGCCCCACCCCCTCCCTCCGTTCCAGTTCATTGCTCGGCGGGAAAATGTCTGGCTCTTTTTTCGTCCAGCCTTGCAGCAATGCCGGCCCACTAAATACAGTACACCTATTTTTTGCGAGACTCACACTTTTTTTTCTCCACCACTGAGCGAAGGCTTATGATATACAGGAGACAATGAAGCGCATGCCGCTAAGCTCAGTTGCTTGGGGCATTTTTTTTTTCAACATGTCCAAAATATGAACGTCGGTTTCTTCAGAACATACTGGTAGTATTTTTTGCGAGCGGGCCGGCACCGCGTGTAGTGGCGACGAACACCGCACGTTGTCTCTCACCCGCCGCACACACGATTGCGCCGCATTTTTTTTTGTTACGCAGCAGAAGTGGCACTACGAGGAGGACATTTCGCCGGAGTTCTGCATGGCGCTGTCGCTGCTGCACCGGGCCTACGGCTGCCGCGTCCAGGAGACGGGCCACAGGACGGTGGGGCATACGTGTGTCACCGACAGGGATAAGGTTGCGGCTAGAGAGGTCAAGGTGGGTCACGATAGCGAGGTTTGGTTTTGCGGGAAGCGTGCTCACGCGCGAGTTTTTTTTTTTTACAGGAAGTACGGTCACACGCGATGGCGGGGGTTGTTTGTGGTCACAAAGCGGATTGTGGTTGCAGGCAGCGGGGTTCGCAAGCTGGACGGAGGCAGGTGGGTCATTGGTGAGGTTTGGATGCAGGCAGCGTGGTCACAAGCTAGGCCGGGATTTGTTTGCCGGCAGCGTGGTCGAAAGAGCCGGGTGCGTCCTGTTTACAGGCAGCCGTGGTGACAAGCCCGCGGTTGTTGGAGGTACATAGCGTGGTTGGTTGCTGCAGGAGTGCTTCAAGGCGACGGCAGGCGATGCATGCGCCTGCCTGAAACCGGTGGCGTACAGTACTCCACAGCTGCGACCAGGGGTGCCGTGCTTGCCTGATTGCCCCCCCCCCCCCAACAAAGCCCCCCCCGGTGTTTGCCATCGGGGTTGGGTTTTCGTCGCTTGGCAACGACGTTGTAAAACAAGCCGCCCCCCCTGGTGTTTGCCATCGGGATTGGGTTTTCCTCGCTTGGCAACGACGTTGTAAAACAAGCCAATTCACTTCGTGAACTCGGCAACCAGGTTACCGTTTTTTTTTTCTTACCTCCGTTTTTTTTTTGGGCGGTAACCATAATGGTGGTCGAGTAGATCATGTTGTGCGGGGTGGAGAACCCTCGCTCCGCGCAACTGGGATGATCGCACCACGTTGTGTTAAAATGGTCAAGCACCCTCGAGGCAGTTACACAGTGCTTACAACTGTCTCTGGAAGTGAAAGCACCAGAAAGTAAATTAATTCATACGCAGCTGTCATCCGTACGCAAGGAAGTAAGCA